CCGCCCAGAGCCCCAGCCCCGCCCCAGCCCCGCCTCCGGACCACGGGCGAGGCTCGCTACAGCCTGCCGCCTCGCCGACTGGGCCTTTGTCTGGGCCCCCAGCCCCCTCTGCGTGGGCCGTGGCCCAGCCCGGCTCCCCGCCAAATCCGTGCTGGAGTGTGGTAAGGGCCGGGGGCCGGGGGGGCGGGAGCGCAGGGCAGTGCGGGGCCTCCTAGACTCTGCGCGCTCTACTCCAAGCTGCCCCGCGCTCCCTGCGCGTCCCGCCAGCTTGCAGACTAAAGCTGCTCGCACAGTGCCCTCACACTACACACGACGCTATCTGCTCACGCGCGGCCTTCGGGAACCCCAGGATCTCCTGCCCCTGCTCACACATGTACACACAGCTCCCACACCTGCTCCACACGCTCAGACCAACTTGAACTCTCAAAAACACTTCCACACTCCACTTTCTTGCAGAAACACACTTGTCTGCTACATGAGAACACTTTCACACTACTGCACCCAACTCTCTTGTGCTAACAGTCCTCACGGGTTCGTGTGAACACCTGCTTCTAAATGGTCACCTCCACAAATGACAGGGAACAGGTGACACAGGGGACACCTTCACACACACTTGGCCACCCGCACGTTCAGCAGGCTCACACATTCAACAAATTGCAAAGCGTGAGGACACCTTTGCTCCTGACGGGCATTCACTTTTCACACACAAGCTGGTGTCATTTCTTGGGTGCAAACCAGCCTGGGTATTTTTGCATTTTCTCATACACTAATCCAAGTTCCTCGAGGTGGGCACTCAGTACTAAACTGCAGTGCTCTCCCCCCTCAGTGTCTTTTCCCATGTAAATCACTTATAGACTGACTCTGATTCACATAAATCACAGCCCCAGAGTCAGAAACACAGCAATTCACACATCTGGGCCCAGACATAGACAGGCCCTGCCAAAGCCCCCCATCACAGATGCTGGGGCGGTTAAATCACAGCTGAAGATCAGCCTTTGACACTGACCCACAGGCCCTGTGGGCACAACCATGCCACCTGGCCCCTCCACCCCTACGCTCAGCTCCCTCCTGGCCTGAAAATGTCCAGTCAGCCCCAGGTCAATAGGTGAAGAGAACACTGGTGTGTGTGTGTGTGTGTGTGTAGGCGAGGGGTGGCTTTAAGGAAAATCTTTTGAGTAATGATAGAGGGAGGAGAGTGAAAACTGAAGTTTCCATTGTTTGCTGTGAGTTACTAGGTTCCAGAGACTCGTGGCTGGGTTTGCAGCCAGGAGTGAGGTGAGCTGTGGACAGAAGGAAATGCCCGGCTAACTGGGCGGCACCAGGCCTGGCACAGGAAGGTGTGTTCCCTGTGATAGGGGCCTTCAGGCCCCAGGCACCTGGGGGATTGAGAAAACACTGGCATCCTGACCCCATCCCAAATACATGCCCTATCTCCAAAAGAGGCACATTTCTGGGGGCTACATCAAAGCTGCAAGGAGCAGAAACTACATCCACAGTGGTTCAACCAACTCTCTGGCCCCAACTCAGACTCTGGCATGGCACTGAATAAGGCCTGCCTCTGCTTCAGACAAGGAAATAGGGGTCGACAGAAGAGGGATGCACAATCTTGACCCTCAGTGAACTCCTAACCTAATGGAGGGAAGGGGGTAGACATCTGGTCTCTGTCTTCACATTGTTCTCGCTCTGATAGAGAACCCTGCCTCTACTCCCTGGCTGTGCAATCTTGAGCAAATTATTCAATCTCTATGGGTCAGTCCCCACATGTAGAAAATGAGAGCAGTGTCATTACGAGAATTATCTGTTTATAAAGGAGCCGTTTCAGACAGATGGTAAGCACTAATAAGTGGTAGCCATTTCTCTTATTACTGTTTCTGGTGTCTCCCAGTATGAAGAGAGAGACACAGCTCTGCCTTCAGGGAGCTCTGGTCTGATGGAGGAGCAGCCTCTACACCCAATGTGTTGTTCCCAACCTGATGGCAGACACAGCCCCCACCCCAAGGACCTCCAGTTGAATGCGAGAGTGAAGCTTTTTACTGGGGAACTCCACTCCCTGTCTGATGAGGAAGGCTTCAGAACTCTACTGACTTCAGAGTTGGCAGGGGGCCAGCCCTGGTGGCAGGATTTTTCCAAGCCTTGCCCATCTGTGGAGGGTCAGCATCCGTGACAAATCGCATTTCATGAGCTGCCTCAGTGTCTGTTCCCTTAAAGCTTTGGCCCTTTAAGCCCCAAAGCTTCAGCTTCTTGGATGATTTGCTCATGAGCAAAGGGAAAAGGAGAACAAGCCACCCTTTGTAGATATTTGGTCAAGACCAACCCAGAGCTGTAAGTCTTGCCTCCTAGAAGGGGTTGAGGAAAGATATGGTAAAGCTGACTGGGGGTAAAGCTGGAAGGAGCTGAGCTAACATAGAGAGCAGGAAAATATGGCCTGTCCGGAAAGTCTTCCAGAGTAACCCCACCCACCTGAGAACTGGTCATCCACCTATTTTTTCTGCGTCCTCTCCTTCCCACTAAGGGATTTGGCTGGGTCTATTTTACTCTGCAGTCCTTGATATCTTTAGTAAATGTTCTCAAGTTGTGTCATCTAGGGCCTGGCCATCACCTCATATGGCTCAGAAGAGGGGCAGAAGCAGGGGCTTGCTGAATCTGGGAGGCACCTGTAGTCACATTTTATGTGGTGCCTATAACCCAGGATACTTGTCATACATACTCTGGGAGAGAAACAATTGAAGTCTCATGCAAAGTTCTTGGGTAAGGAGAGACTACAAGGGTTTGGAACAGCCAAAGAACATGGCTTCTGAGAAAAAGAGTTGGGAGTTTTGGAGGCAAGAGCCAGAGTTTGTAGTTCACCTATCTGCTGCTCCGAAATCAACAGGACTCATCTTTTACTGGCTTTCACTTCTACTCCGAATCTTTTCTTTCCCTCAGAACTTACCATTCATTTCACTCACATTCCTCTTCATTCACTCATTCATTCAAGCCTGCAGTGGACAGTTGGGCAGGTTGTTCACTGAACAAGGGTATGCAGCCAAGTGGGTAAATAGGAGGTGTGATGTGTCCTGTTGTGGGGCTACATCTACCTAGAATGAGTACTTTTCGCTAAAGTGAGTGAAGGCATTGTCTAGGCTAGCTGTGGCTCTGCGTTCATTTTATAATGGAAGTAAACGCTTGCTATGTACAAGGGTTTCCGTGCTTGTGTAGGCAAGTAGATGCTGGGAGATGGTGGGAAGAGGAAGGACACAATTCTAAGCTCTCCAGCCACATCCCTTTCCCAACATGGTCTTTGCACATGCTGTTCCTTCTCCTTGAGTGCTTTTCCCACCTAACAGCCACTCTTCTTCACTCTAATCTCCTTTAAGATTCCTCTCAAACATCATGTTACCATAGAAGCCTCCCTTGACCTCCCAGACTAGGTCTGGTTGTCCACTACACTTGACCACCTCCCCCTTACCACCCTCATCCTTCCCTCATTTGGAATTTTTGACAGTTGTAATAATTTGGAAGATCATTTAATATTATGAGGCATAATGAAGCCAGAGGACATAAAGGTCTTGTCTGTCTTGTTCCCGATTATATCCCCTGCAAAGAGCATAGAGTTGGCACTCAGATAATTTTTTACTTAAATCAAAGAGCAAGTGGGTTCAAAAGTGGCATATGATATAAATGTTCCTCTTTTGATTTGTACTTGGGACAAAGATAAACTCTATACTGTTCAATTGACACTGAATGGCATTTGATTATCCCTTGTAGTTGTGGGAGGTAAGCAAGTATGTGTATTTTATTAGCTCCCTTTCTCAGATGAGGAAACTGAGGCCCAGGGAATGAAGTGGCTTGTTGAGGTCGCACAATCAGTGAGAGCTAGAACCAGAATTCACATCTATATCTGATTCTAGAACCCACATTCTCAACCACACCCATTCTACCTCCACCTGGGTTGTTCTCAACTCTGCCCAGGCAGAAGTACAGCTCCCAGCTCAGGCAGAGGTGTGAGACTTCTGCAAAAGGCCCTGGATCTGCCCCCTCTTACTGTTCCCCTGCCAACCCCATCACTATAAATCACTTCCTTTCTGAGTTTTCTCCTTGGGTCCCAGGCCCAGGGCAGGGTTCCCATACTATTCCTCCTGGGTCATCTGCCATCTGAGATTTCCCTTTCTCACACCTTGACCGTCCCGAGGGACACTCACCCAGAAAAGTCTCTAACAGGTCTCCAATGAAGCCGCCTGTCCAACTCTGTTTAATTCGGCCTTCCTGAACCTCTCTGGGAACGGAACCTACTTGTTTTTATGGAAAAACCTTTTAATGTCTCATAGGGCTGGTGTTTCTCACAACACACTTTGCGAGTGCTGTCCCAGAGCCTGGCTCTTGAGCTGACCATAAATGGTCTTTATACTTTGAATTTGTCACCCATGGCCCTCCACCCCCACCTTTCCCCCTAAGCCAGGCTGGAATTCTCATGGCTCCATACACCCATCCCTATTCCTGCCCACAAACCTCTGCTTCAGCTGTAGAAGACGTCTACAGGCTCATAGCTGGAGCTCCAGAAGTGTTCCTCTCCCTTCCTTTGTTGGTGTAGACATTATGTGTTTTCCCTTGGTGTAGACATTATGTGTTTTCCCTCGTTACACACATATGAGTGTGCACACATGATTTTGTGTCTTGCTTTTCTCACTTAACATTTTTTTTCACAAACACAGTTCTACTGTGTAGAACTGTAAAGACCAGGGCTACTTAAAAATGCATCTGTGGCCCAGTGCCAATCCCCAAACTATTTATTACCAGTGTGAGACAAGATAAGAGCTTGTTCCACCGTGTAAATCAACTGTTTCAATAAGCACAGCTTAGTGACAGTTTAGCTCAGCTG